TTAAGGAGCCTTGGTGGTTCCATGGTAAAAGCATTGGGGGATAAGAAGTGCATACCCAAAGTAGTCATTTCAAATGCACTGGCTACCCTCTGGTTGTACAGTCCAGAGGGAATTGCATGGCTAACAAAGGCTCAGCGTCTCCAGTAGTTCAAATTCTCCAGTGCCTCTGGAAGAAATATGGATATTCTCCTCCTACTACAACTTACAGCCTTGAAAACCCTCCAGTCAGCTATAAGTTAGAATGACCTGAAGATAGTTAAGAGTTTAGAGGGGTGGGGAGGGTGTCTGAGCTGGCCCAAGAGGAGAAAGATGAGGCAGTCTGCTTCTCCTAAAGATTACAACCTCAGAAACCCTATGGGGTAGTTCTATGACATCCTATAGGGTTGCTATGAGTTGCCATTGGGTTTTTAGTGTATACTGAGGGTGCAATAGAATTACAAAAAAGTGTGAACTCTAGTGAGCATTACCAGAAGTATGGCACAGACATGAAGTGAACACACACCGTCAGAAAAACGGTGTAGAAGCCCAGGGCTGTCACAACCTTCAATTTGTAAAACAGCAAGAACAAACCCCCCACGGTGTCTGCAATAAACAGAACTAAGGGCCAATAAAATAAGGGCCACCTGTAACTGGAGGATTCTCAATGGCTGACATCTGCTCCTGAAGTCAATGCCACTTAACGTCACACTCCACAGCCAAGGAGTGGTTTTCTGTTCCCGTCAGCCCTCCACCAATTTCTGAGGCTGTACATCTTCAGGAGAGGAGACTGTCCATCCACCTCCGACAGAGCAGCTACGGATTCAAACTGCTGACCTGTGTGCTAACAGCACAACACGCAGGCACTGAGCTACCAGACCTCCTTCCATCTTCCCAAAGACTCTACCACTAGTGGCTTTTAAAACTGGACTGCTTTTATACCTTGATGCAGACAAAGCAATTTAAAATGTCCAATTTTAAGTAGCATCTTTAAAAGTCTGCAAAGGCAGGAAGGTTGCCTGTCAATGAAGCAACACAGCTGGCTACTGGAAGACCATTTACAGTTTCCATTAAGAGGAGGAGACCTTGTCTGTAAAGTAAGTCTTGTCAGTTATTCTATACATTTATTCACTTTTGTAACTCTTGTAGCACAGACCTGAAACACTTGCACACAGACTTCTGTTGACTCCTGTACCATATGTTACATCTGCACATGTAGGTTTTCAAACTCAACTCTGTACTATGGGCTCACAGCTAACACTCTGGTGTGTATTCTGAGGCTGTAAATCCCATCCGGGAGACAGCGTATCTTCCTCCAATGGAGTGACGGGTGGATTCGAACAAGAGATGAGTCCCATTTGGGTTGGCACTGAAACGTCCTCTGGGCTATACCAGAGTTTCTTATATGTGTTGTTGTTGTTGTTGTTGTTGTATACCATCAAGTAAGAGCTAACACTTAGCTGGTTCTTCAGAGGCAGTTAATCTCATGGGGAGACTACCCATCTTTCTCCCTCAGAACAGCTGGTGGGTTTGAACCTCATATCTTTGTGTTGGTAGAACAATTCCTTACCACTAAGCCACCACAGCTCCCTTATATATGTATAGACTTGGCTAATTAGTGGGTCTTTTCACTGACTGACTCTGTGATTTACATACCAGTCTCCTAAAAGTCAAGTCAACATTTAAATTGTGATCTAATTTTGTACTCTAAAATCTAAACTACAAAGACTGTGGAATGTCTGTTTACAAAAACTGCCACTTTGAATACAAAAATACCCACAGAATCTTCCTCCATTTTTCCAACATGACCTGGTTAATATGTGGCTTGTCTTCTCAAAGATCAACGTCACAGACACGGTATGTCACTAAATAGTTGCTAGTCAACTATGTGCTGGAACTGGCCAACTTAAAAGCGTGCAATTAATAAAAGCACACGTTCCACTAGGAAGCATCATTAGGGTTGGTTTTGTTTTTTTAAGAGAGATTGCTTCTTATTAGGGATTTGATACAAGCCTTGCCATAGGCAAGCCATGCCGGGTTAGCAAGGAGTCAAAGCTAAACAACCCATTTCTCAAATGCAAACTCACTGCCATGGAGTTAATTCTAGCTCGCAGCTGACCCTCCAGCGAATCGCAGGGGAAGCGACTGCCCATCTTTCTCCTGCAGAGCTAAGAGTGGATTCAAACGACCACGCAGACATGTGGCCTTTTGGGCTACAGCTCCGCTTTATATATTTCGCCACCAGACCTCTCTTAAACAACTAATTTGTGTGCTGTGTTGCTGTGTGCCGCTGAGTCAGAACTGACCTATAGATGACCCTCCAGCGGGTGTCCTGGGGCAATTAATCGCAAGGAGACCGTCTTTCTCCCAAAGATCAGCTGGTGGATTCAAACCACGTGCCTCTGCAGCTGGTGGAGCTGAACCATGTTAACTTGGGGATTGCACTGCCACTTCTTATCACTAGGCCAGGAGCTCAAACAACCCATTTAGTTGGGATGAAAACACTCTAGTGCCAAAGCAACTTCACTAGACACACCAGGGGACTGAATTGCTCCTTAGTGATTAAAACATCACAGGCATGTGACTGAAAGGTTCCTGGGGGGATGAATAATTTCCCCTTCCAGTGTCACTGTCACATCCCGTCTCCCCACGTGCTCGCCGACTGACCTCACCAGGGCACCCGCTCCCCGCGGAACCCGGGAGGGGCATGGCCTGCGCTGGGGCGTTTCCGGGCGACGGGGCTACGCTGGGGGCGTACCGGGGGCGTGGCCTGCGCGAGGGGCGTGGCCCGACGTCACGTGGCCGGCACGGCGCCGCCATCTTGCTGG